CTCCAAAGTGGGCTGCGGCATAATGGTGTCATAATGAAACCTTCCCCCGAAATATTCTGCTGCCGCAGGATTCAGATTTCAGCTGAGCGATCATGTAGAGCGTCTGGAGGTACTGACAGAACAAGCAAACAACATTTCCCCAAGTCCTTTCGAAAAGAGTGTCTCTCTCACTTCGGCGCTGACCACGGCTTTGCGAATCGCCTGCTTGAGACCTGTCTACTGCATTTACGTGGCTACTGCAGGTGGGTATTTCTCGAAATTGCAATTCCCGTCTCGACGATTGCAAAATCAAAGAAATAGTTCCTGATGGGACTCGCAATTTTGAGAAACTCCCACGTGGCAGCAAAGCAGTGCGCCCTGAGCAACTGCATTGCCAGGGACACACATTTCTTGCATTACCCAATTCGCAATGTTTCTGGGCTTCTGTGCCACGCGCAATAACATGTCAAACCAGTTCTAACCAGTTGAGGCTGAATTGCTTCTGTCTTCTGCAAATACACAAAGGGATGCGAAGCGCATGACAACCCGCAAACATTGGGATGGCTGAGCAGCCCTGCTGCAACTAAATGTGCTACGTGAGAAGTAGTGAAGGAGTGTTGGGCTGCTCTGGGCGTCGTTTCTGATGAACAACTTTGGCAGGCACTACTAGTATGTTGGAGAACGATCATGACTTGGGGGTATAAAGGGGACAATGGAGAAGAACATGGAAACTACTATAATGGGGTTTTATAGAGGTTGAATTTTGGGAAACCCCAAACCCTAAACCCTGAACCCCCTATGCAATCCCTCTAACCCCCTTTAAAGGTACCCCTAAGTTGGGAAACCCCCATGTTGCTACCCCATCAGCAAACTGGCACCTTCGACGACTTGACCTTGAAGAAACCATGACATGCCAGGGGAGCTCAGTCAGGGGAGTTCTCATAAACACCATGATATATTATGATATACTATGGTATACTATAATATACCATAATAGAATATAATGTACTGAAATATGCCTTAATATAATATGATATACCATAACTTCTGCTGGTATGTTTCATGTAACACCTCGAACGACAACTAGTTGTCATACAATGTTTCGACCGTGCTCACATGATGGGTTCTTGCGTCAGAGCCATGTCGTCCTACAACACTGCCGCGAAGAAAGCCGTGTACCCTAAACCCTACACCCTGAGCCCCAAACCCTATACTCCATCCAAAGCCTAAAAGCAAGTAAAAAAAAACGGGCCCAAGCTCCTAAATACAGCCCCCAAAATATTGTAGTCCTTTTTATAGGGACCCCCAAAAAGGTACCCTTAATGTTGGGAAACCCCAAAAGGCCAGACACTTTTGAGGCCGGCACTGCCAGCTGGCCTCGTTGAAGCATGCCACCCAGCCACACTGGTACTCCCGCCTGGCTCTCTGGGGGTCAGTAAGGCTTAGGGTTTAGGGTTTGGGGCAACAACTTAGGCCCTGTGGGGATCCTCATAATAAGGAATAAGGGAACAGCAACTTAGGCCCTGTGGGGATCCTCATAAGAACGACCATGGTATTTTGGGGTCTATATGGGGGTCACTCCCTTCACGGAAACTACCAAGTCTTTGCAGGTCAACGCATTCACTGAGCTATGTGGCAGATATTGCTATTGCTTGCAATTGCAGCGCTGTCCCCAAGAGCACGTGACAGCTAACAGCATGGTTCCTCCTGCTCGCACTCCTCAATACGTTCTACTGTCATGTTCTGTTGTACTATAGTACAATAATATCATAGTACTCATATACTATAGTACTGTAATACTGTCGTCGTTCAATTTCCAAGCTTCTGCTCTAAGCTGCTCCTTGGTCAGAAACATTCAATTTTCAAGCTTCTGCAGCAAGCTGCTTCTTGGTTGAAAGCCACCAGGAAATCTTGCTTGCACCACCCAGTATGCCCTGCCACCTAGGAATTGCAGTGTTATGAGTGTCCTAACTGGTGCAAGATTTCCACCATCTACCGCGGTATTAGTTCTGATCCCTCTGAACACATATTGCGCTACCGAATGATTTGTCAGCATACTTCATCAACCAGTAATATTTGAGTATTTGACTGCAGCATGACCCACAATACCTGCGGTTGTTTAGGGTATTGAACCAGTAACAAACAACATGTTGTCTTCTCCTTTTCCTCATGTACCGCACTTCTCCGATGCCTCCAGCAAGCAGGACGCACCAAAATCAAGGCTGGATCAGCGCACAGGTATGTGGTAGTTTCCCAATACTGGGACCCCAATATAGACCCCAAAACACGATAATCTTTATCGTAGGGACCCCCAAAAGGGGTGCCCCTAATTTTGGGAAACCCCCAAATACAGCGGCACCTTTTCCTCCAAGCACCCGCTAGGCGGATGCAAGCTGACTGGCTATGGGCGCATGCGGCTGCACTCAACGTCCAAGCCGTGCACCCGAGGGGCACAGGCGGGAGCGTACGGTGCTGCACATGTCAGCTGCTAGCCATCAGCCACGGCGCGCGCTACTTGACGAAAGAAACCCTAGTATGTGGTAGGAGCGTTTCTTAGGGTCCCCACAATGAGGACTGTAGCAGTTCAGGGTCTACATTGGGGCCTTATCATTTTGATCAAAAGCTCTCTGGGAGTCTTCACGTTCGCCGAATGCATCTTGCCAAGTTTAAAGTGCTTTTGAGACCGAGACCCTAAACCCTAAACCCTACCTAGAATATCTGCAGCTTTGCTGCTTGGCTAGCGCACAACAATGACTGCACAAGTTTCTTACCGCGGGTTAGTAAGGAATATTATGGGTATACACATAAAGATAGAAGGATTAGGGCTAGTAGGGAATGAGGGAATACAATCCCCATATCACTCCTCATATATGGTATTCCCTCATTGGTTACAAGACCCCAGCAAGTTTCCAAAACTTCTGCGAAAACTTTATATGAGCTACTGTCTAAACTCCTAGCATCCCCCTTAATAAGCCCTATAATACTCCCCTAAATCATCCCCTATATAACCCCCCTTAAGGAGTTTAGACTATAACTCATATGTCTCAGCACACCTTGCTAGGTACTCCCGTTGGATAGATACAGGAGAGCCCGTCGGTGCAACTCAGGGGACATGTGTTTTTTTCCATTCCTAGGGATCCCTTCTAAGTACACCAATATACAATACTCCTTTTTGTGGGATTCTAATCTTTTCGCCCGCCTTGGGGCCGACATGATTAACAACAAGATGCAAAACTTGGAATCGAACCCGAGCACTGCCTCAAGACAGTCAAGCAGGAGAGAGATTCGGCTAATCCTCTCTTGGCCTCAGAAAACCTAGATTGCATATCTGATACGGGGTTCTTGTGATCATACCGGGGTCAAGGGACAATTGCAAACACAGGCATACTAAGGGCCCCTCTATAACCCCCAATAGAACAGTACTTCTCATGTTCTTTCCTTCATTCTCTAGCCGATTCATTCCGATTCTTTCTCCGCCGGGACCGGGCTACTTGTTCTTCACGAGTATCAGCCTTCTCAGAATATTTTCTCCTGCGTCTGGGGACCGGTGCCATCGGCAGGCGCACTAGCTGCTCCTGTCAGCTTGGGTACTGTTGATGAAAAAACCTGCACGACCCTATCTACCTGATCCCTAGGAGTTTTTGTACTATAGTATAACACTGCATCAAGCGCATGTCTGCGACTTGACTGCTCTGAATACTCTGGCGCCGTAAGTTTCCGGATCGACATGCACGCCAGGCATGAAGCGTTGAAGATTGCACTGATCCATACTCCATTTCATACTGATTTTTTGTAGGGAATCAAGGAATATGTTGTACATATTATATTGGGAATATTCCCTAAACCAATAAGACTAAGAAAGTTATTACGCTAAAGAACCGGCAAGCCCCAATAATCCCTAAACCCCAAATGGTAGCTTCCATTTTCCTGTCCGTTATCCTTGCATGATCCCTACAGCACCCCCATATAATCCCTATATTTATCAAGGGTATAATATATATATATATATACACATCCCTGCTAGTCTGGTAGTAGGGAATAAAGGAATACAGAGTATACGATAAGGTTGTACAGGGATTATGGCAAAGAAGATGGGAACGACTGTTTTGGGTCGAGGGTTTTTAGGTAAAGGTTCTTTGCCCAAGGTCAAAAGTCCCATGCTCGTTCTGAAAACTATGTCCATCGCGGATTAGATGCTCCGGAGCATGTTGGAGGGACCATCTCATACTACCGGGCTTGGATTTGACAACCACATGAAGGACTGAACGCCCCATTGCCTGATACACCATTATAAAACCAGGGAACAACAAACAAAGTCTAATGTGTTTGCAGCGCTTCAATAGGGCCTCCCCTCCCTGATACACCAGTATACACTCGGGGAACAGCGGACAAAATCTAATGATTTTGCAGCGCGTCAGTAGGGCGCCCGAATCTTGTTGTCCGATTTCTGACCAACATTAAACATGTTTGAAACCATCGCTCATATTACCTTCTATATACATATGTGTATATATATATATACACACATGTACCCGTAGCCCTTTACATGAGCTTGCATGAATAAAAACCCTACAATATTACCCTTTACCATCCCCCATATAGCCCTCCTTAAGGAGTTTAGACTATAGCTCTTCTGAAGACCCCTACACCCTAAACTCTCATCCCTGAAGCCTCCACCCTAATCGCTAATCCGGGAACCCCAAACCCTAAACCCTAAACCCTAAACCCTCATATCCAGTTGCCTCGCCTTGAAGCTTGACAGTACTTTGATCTTCTGTGTCAGGTCATCCTTCTGGCGAAGCACGTTTTCATCATCTGGAAAGAGCCTTGCTTGGCCTTTGGAGCCCGTTGAAAACTAGTAGTATATCGGGCCCGTGCGAGGTATAGTCCAAACTTCCAGTATCCCCATTAATAACCCCTATAGTACTCCCCTGTATAAGCCCTTATATAGCCCCGGACACCCTTCAAAGAGTTTAGACTATAGCTCGTATGAAGCCAAGAAGGGACATTTTTACCATACATCACAAAGGCCAACCCAGGAGCTCTTGTAAGTTTGCCCCCAACTCATCTCTCCAAATCTCCTCCAGCTTGTCCGCCAGCCGCCCTACCGCATTGAACTTGATGACTTTGGCTGACTCTTCCACAAGTCCCTCGATCATTATACCAGTGTAGACATGCAAAGAGGCACATGTCTCCAATGTGGCAAATTTACCTGGCACGTTTTCTGCTTCTTTGACTAGCTTCAAGAACTCTTCGGACAGCTCTTGCTCCTGGTAAGATGAATTCTCAGCATAAGGGCCATGAGGCAAGGACTCCTCATCAGAGTCCTCAGAGTCCTCAGGAGAGTCCTCAGGGCCATCCATAGCCCGCCGGAAGCGCATCATCCGCCGCATATACTGCGCATTTGTTGTTGAAGTCACTTCCTGCGCCTCAGCCAGCACCTCACACACCCTAAACCCTAAATAGTAGTTTTCATTTTCCTTTTCATTATCCGTAAATATTGTCTATATAACCACTTTTTTTAAGCCACCCCTATGGAACCCCAAAATAACTACACCATATAATCCCTTCTTCTCCAAAGCCTAGACCCTAACTCTAAACCCAGCACCTCACAGACTTCTCTGGCTTTGCCCGTAATTCGGTCAATGCATTCCTCAGCCCTGGCATCAAGATTTGATGCGAGGACAGGGTAGTTGCTCCTCAGCTGCTTCTGGCAATCTAGTAGAATGAAAGAGACTGTCAGCAAGCCAGCCACAAAATTCTCTAAGAAAAACACTTTGAAACAAGCTTAGGTTCGCATACATATTAATCACATGCCATACCACCTTGCAAGGGTGTTCACCAACCTCTGTTACCAGTGCCTCAATGCTTTCTTTCAGCAGCCCTTCTTCAATGAAGGTTTGCCTGATGAGATTTCGAAAGACCTCGGATCCGATCAAGTTGTCGACGGTGTAACCCCTAGCATAAGTCCGCACCCTATAGTCCACCTCATCAATCATCTCTTCCTGCAGCCACTCAGGATTTCTTGCAAGCAGATCAGCCTTGTACTCCTGAACCATCGAATCAATTTTTGGCGCAATAGTCAGTTCTCTGTCAGAACTCTTGGCACTCACGAATTCCGCTCGGATTCGACGACCCAAATCTCGCCGAATCTCAGCAACGATACTGTTGAAAAGCCTAGCCTGGTCTGACTCAGTCTCTGGTTGGTGTGGCAATTCGCGCAACCTCGCCCGAAGGTCGCCAAGTGTCTTGCGCACAGCCTCCTTCATCCGGGGAAGACATTCATCAACACGCGCCTCTTGAATCTTTGCAACTTTTTCCATCAGCCGCGATGTGCCCCAATTCTCTTTTGGCAATAGCTTCATGCGATGACTCTTGGTAAAAATAAGCTCTTCTTTGTTCCAAAGTTTTTGCCGGCTCATGCCCTCGTCAATGTTCCTCTGTGACCGGTTCACCACGCCATGAAAACCCAGCTCTAACCGCACATCCGAACTTCGACGCATCAGTACCTGAAACTACTAATAACTTATAATACTAAGTGATAATAGGATTACTAATAGTACTAATACTAGTAGTGATAATAGGAATAATACTAATACAAGATGTGACTGGCTGATCCGCTGATATTGGAAAGCCTGCCTTGTCAACAATGTCAGAAGCTTCTGCACTAGCGGCATCATCGCACTTTGTAACAACGCCCAATGTGCGGATGCCATCAGGATCATACTTTCTGGCCAACTTCACGACCTGCAGCAGCAGGACAGGAATGTGAAAAGTCAATTTGGCAGCTGTTAAACTCTCACAGGATCAAAGTAGAAGGTTTCAGAACACGAGCTCACCACAAGCAACACAGTTGTTTGGGATTCCTGCGCTTGCGCAGTACACGGCCGAAGTGGGTAAGACGGACCAAAGCCCACCCGGCCTCGGCGTTGCCGAAGTCAGACATGGCGGGGATGACGCAGAGGATCACCATTTCTTCTGGCTTGATGTACTGCTCCACCAGCTGTACAGTGACCTCATGCCCAGACAGCATAACAGAAAGAGGATGGGCCGTTTAGGAAATTTAGGGTTTAGGGTTTGTTGGGGCGAGGGACGCCTCCCTCAAGAAGGACTAAGCAGTTTGCGGCGCAGGCTCTTTTCACCCTCAATCAGGCTGTGTGTCAAAATCGGAAGTCTTATGTCCGCAAGCATCGAATGGACTCGCGAAGAGGGAAGCAAACTGCTTCAAGTCTTGAGAAGGACTTGTTCTAAGAGGGGATAAGGGAATTCTGGTAACCCCAATCCTCTATGATAATTGTATTACTCGTATCGGGTCCTTGTCATTGGGGGTTGGGGTAGCCAATCCATATGTAACCAGGTTCCATTTCATTTCCCATTTTACTGCCCATGCTGTTCTCCATTATCCTGGGACCCTCATGATTAAACATTGCCCTCTGGCCTCATGAATGTCGGCCATCTTTGTTGCGTTGTGCGTGATGCCTGGAAGATCGATCAGACTCAATTGAGGTCCTTCTCCGCGAACCACTTGAACGTACATGGCCTCATTGGACGGACAAGGGGCCAAAAGTACATAGCGCCCCTTCCCACTCCATCTATCATGTTCTTTTCATGAAAGTATTTTACTCTCCGTTATTCCCAATCTAGGATTAATGCGATGACATTTGCCGAGCCGAACAGCAGCTTTGAGCCTACCCCTAAAGGTCAAAGGACCCAAATGACAGGGCTTTAGGTCCCAAATACCATTCAATACTATAGTATTTGGGCCAGAACTAACACCAGATTATTTGAGTCCTTGGACCCTTAGGGTACAATCCTGCACAGCTAGACCGGTAAGGGTGTCTATTATTTTGTTGTCCGGTCTTTTTGTTGTTTTAGCTTCTCCTGTGTTTTGTTTTTACTGTTTGGGCAAGGGCATGTGTTTTTTTTTGCTGTTTGGGCGGGGGGCGGGTTGTTTTTTTTGGCTGTTTGGGCGGGGACAGGATTTCACTCACTTACCGGCCGCCTGGCTGGGCTTTAGGGGGCCTAACAACGAAACACCGAACAGGAAAAATGGTTCCTCATTCGACCACCAGTCCGATGCCAACACGCCTTCCATAAATGGAAGCGCATAAAGCAGTGCGTGATTCATCCCAAATCAAACACAAATAACCATCAAAACGGCTAAACCATACATCATAAACTGTTTAGAGCTTACGTTTCCACTGAGCCAGCCTCGCTCGAGATATACTGGGTGCCCGTCGCATGCTTGTCAGTCAGCTTCTTGATTTGCCCCTCAACCTCTTGAACGGAACATCTCTTTGCCTTGGCTCTGTATGTGCAATCGAAACACTGATGGAGCAAAGAAGCAGGCATGGGGTGTAACCATCCACCGCACACAGCGTACCAATGCGCACCTAAGGGACAGTTTCAAAATCAGAATCCATGGAGACCATCGCATAAGGCTCTTTCACTGTGGAATCAGTGAGCAGGGTCAGCACGCATGGCATCCTTGTACACGTGTTCTGTGCTCTCGGGAACTGAATGCCAGAAATATTTTCTAGCAGTGATGATTTGCCCGCGGACTGCTCGCCAACAACCACAACTCCAGGAAGTGAAATCTCTACCGACTGGCACACATGGCGAACGCTTTCGAACAAGCCCAACTTCTTTGAAACATCAGTCATCGCCTTCTGCAAGGAATTCTCAGCCTTGGGTCATGCCACTTGAGTTGCAACACCTTTTGCAACTATACAGTTTCTGCATAACGGAAACACAAGCTTGGCTTCAGGCTAAAGTATCCTTTGGCTGCGCCTTTGGCTGGGTCACGGCAGAAGAACTTTTGCTTGCGTTCTTCCGCGCTGTCCTGCAGGCGGTTCTGTTTAAGCGGCTTTGAAGCCCTCTGGTATATCAGTACTGCCACGCCCTGATAGCTGGTTCAGATCAAACACAGCAGCATGTCCTCCCCACCTTTCTGTTGCAGCAAGTTACGGCAACAGCTGCTGCAAGTACAGCACGACTGTCTGCAGGGAACAGCAGCCACATCCAACAAATCTAGTATGCAACCGAGAGAGGGCTCCAAAAACTGCAGATCCCTTTGCCAGTACGGCTTGTGCCATTTGAAATTGTATAGGGGGACTCTGCTCTCAAGGAATACCCAGCTCAACAAGGCCTGGCTGTAACAAGACGCTCGGGTTGCGCTGGGGTACCGGCGACTGCATGCTTGGCAGGTGAATGCCGGCATGGCCGCGAGCGAGGATGGCTGCCATCTTAAGAAGCCAGGGAGATTGTGGATGCTCCTTACCAAAACTCTTTCGATCTGTGAGCCCAAAATGGTCAAGGACAACAGCTGGCCTGGGCATGATAGCATCTGAGAAGGGTGGCTAAAACTCACAACTCAACACATGTCCGTCGGCACTGCGCGAGATGTGTGCAACTCACAAGAAAGTCTCCCGTTCCCGTACAGCACTTCTGGGGGCTTACAGTAGTAAGTAGGTTATGAATTGGGTTGCAAGTGGACCAACTGCAGTGAGGGCGGACATATAACCCCATCCATAACCTTGTTGCGCACAGACGATGCCTTTTCTTCATGAAGCTTCGTCTACGAAGAAGAAGAAGTGCTCTTCCACTTTGTCTTCGAGGTGCTCTAAGTGACGTCTTCGCCAGCCAAGTCAAGAGCTGTTCTGGTATATAGGGGTTAATTATATAGGAGTATATAGAGTTCTTATAGCCCCAATATACTATAGTAGCTTCCATTTTCTTTTCCATTATCCCTATAAGCTTCCCAAACTGACTGCCAAGGCCAGAGGACGAAGAACTGGGTCAGAGAGCTTCGCATCGGTCGTAGCTTAGATAACAGAAAGCGTGGCAAGGGCAGCCTTGGTGCTGGATGGCGGCATCGGAGGTGGCTGGCGAGGGTCTTCCTTGAGTGGGGTGACGTCGCTGGTGGTCAGGTAGAACTTGAGCAGCGCTTCCTTCAGAGCGTACTGCTGCGGCAGGTACTCCGGCCTGTCGTACTTGTTGTCCAACTCTGTCGGGTCGCTTGCCATGTCGTACAATTCGTTGACGCCATCGTCGCCACGGTAAACCAGCTTCATGGTAGCATTCTTCACCATGACCACGCGGGGCGAGCCGACGCACTTGGTGTAGCTCGCGCCCGAAGTCCAGTTTGCGGGCGAGAAGGGGCAGTTCACCAGTTCCTCCACGCCGCGAGGATAGTAGAGATCCCGCGGGTTCTGATAATCCCCGCCTCCGGAGTGCAGCGGCTCGATCTCCCCCGGGTAAAGGAAGCCTGCCTCGGAGAAGATGAAACGCCCGGGGTCACCCTTGGCCTTGCCATCCAAAATTGGATTGAGGTCCATTCCGAAGACCGTGAAGTTGAGCTGCGCACCCGCCTGCGCTGCGATCGTGGGCAAGAGATCAATCAGCATTACGGGCGAGTCCACGACTTGGCCCCTGGCCGCATCCTGGAACAGATCAGGAGCGCTGCGGATAACCAGTGGCACACGCAGCAGCTCGTCGTCGAGGGCTGTTCCCCACTTCTCCACCAGATTGCCGTCGCCCGCGAAGTCACCGTGGTCGCTAGTATAGATAATGGTGGTGCGGGCGTCGGCGCCGTCCGAGCGTGACTGCAAGGCGTTTAGGAGCTGCCCGAATGCTGTGTCGACGTGGTCGATCATCATGAGATAAGTGGCGTGCAGGCGGTGCCAGAACGACGGGTCGTGGTCGCTCAGGTGCGTCAGGTTGCGGAACTTTGGGATACCTTCCCAGTAGTCAGGCTTATTGGGTAGACCGGTAGGCTTGAGCGGTAGCTTGTCGCGAACTTCTGTCCAATCGTACGTGGAGGTGCCGTTGTTGAAGAACGAGAAATAGCCCTGTTCACCGTACTTGAAGCCTTTTCCATGGAGTCCCACATAGGGCGGGTGCGCACCGAATGTGGGGATGAACAGCATGAAGGGCTCAGGCAACTTGTCGCGCTTGAGGAAGTCCACGGCGTCCTCCCAGTGGGGCGACCACTCGGACACGCGTTTTGGGAACACCTCAGCCGCCAGCAGGTCGTTCTTTCCGAAGAACGCGACGTGATAGTTTTCTTCGAAGAGTCGGGAGAAGAGGTCCGGCTCCCAATCCTGGATCAGGTGCTGCTGCGTGCGGTGTCCCATCGTGTGCAGGTAGCGGCCTGTCATCATTGCCACGCGGCTGGGCGAGCACTGCGAGTTCTGTGCGTTGGCGCCGGTGAAGGCGGTGCCATTTTCAGCCAGCCGCTGCAAATATGGGCTTCGCTGAACAGGATGCGGGTAAGCCTTGCCCGCGCCAACGCTCTCTGCGCGAATGGTGTCGGGAAAGTAAAAGAGGAAATTTGGTCTTCTCCTGGTCACTGCCGGCACACCCGCGGCTGGCAGCACAGCAAGTGCGAGTGCTGCTGCTACTGCTGCTACAGACAAGAATCTCATTTCATGCGCGGAACAAGAATAGGCTGCGAATCTTCGCTCGCAAGCTACAGTACGGAAGGAATTTGAGCCTGCTACCAGCAAAGTCGCACGGCTCATGCTGATGGTGGTCTTGACTCTGTAGCTCAACTACTCGAAAACAATGCGAATGCAGCTGCAACGGAAGCCTTCAACCCGCTCTGCTGGAAGAGCTGGAGGTCCTGACAGTCATGGATCCCATTTTGGACTGTTGCGGAGGTTGGGGTTGAGGGTGTGGGTGTGCGGGGTGGTATGGGGAATGTTGAGAAACATAAAGTCTTTGGGGTTCAGGGATTTAAGTTGAAGGTTTCAGGCTTGGCCAAAACAAGACCTAGGGAATATGCAGCGTTGACACGGTGTTCAAAGAGGTTGCAGAAGTGCATGATTGGGATCGTGCTGTTGTTCAATTTACAGACCGCTTTTCAGATCCCGACTGTTGTATTTTGCGTTATACAGGGGGTCCTGAAACACCTATGCGCACCGTGGCGAGAACGGCACGGTCAACAGCACGCAGGCAGCATACCTTGAAGCCTGCAGGAATTCTTTCTGAATATCCTTGAAGTACTCTTTCGTCAGTGTCTCACAACATCTGTGCACCGCACCCTCTAAGCAGAAATCGTTCAGCTATGATTTTTGAACCGACGCGCCCGCCTTGGACCTTAAGCACAGCAGGCCGGCGACGGCGAGCAGGGATTGTCCACCGACTATGAGGTTGAACAAACCTCAGTGGGAGTTCAGAGCTTGAGATCACAGGAGTTTGGGGAGCCTTGAGATTTGGATTCAGGAAATGGTTTTTTCGGGTCTCAGGATTGCTGATACCAAACTTCTTCAGAAGCTTTACGGCTCCAAGAGGCAGTACGTGAACCCCGAAGTTATGTAGAATAATGGCCTTCTGGGCTATTTAGGGTAGGTTGTTTTGGCCAAAGCCCTAAACCAAAAACCCTACTTTTGGGGTTCCAGGTAAGAAAGTCTCCCCCCCATTTCATATACCGATCGCGATTATCAGAGGCAAGGTACGAGTTTGAGGCCACAGGCCTCCCTTCGGCTCTAAACCCTAAACCCAATTGGTGTCATATAGGGATAATGGCTATTTATCCCCCCACCATCTTGATTCGGTGGAAATCTCTCTTTGGCTTGGTTGAAAGGAGTCTACATGGTAGTTTCCCAAAGTAGGTGGGCCCCAATATAGACCCCCAAATACAATAGTCCCTATTTTGGGGACCTCCAATTTGGGTACCCCTAATTTAGGTAACCCCTACATGTTCCTCCATTAACGGTAAGGAGAACTAGCTTTGCCAGAAATCAGCAATTGCGGACAGCCTCTTGCAAGCATGCAACAGCATAATCAGCGCAGTGTAAAATGGGCGGGGCGGGTAGAGGGCGTAAGAATGTACAGCTGACTGCCCTGGTCCTCCTCGGGCGCAATTGTGCTTACCATTTCGTAGCAGGCGATATTGTCGAAGAAACCTGATGCACAGATACCCTATATAACCCATTTATAGAAGTTCCCATTTTCTTTTCCGTTGTTATCCCCACATAACATAACCCCAACGTAATCCTAAGATTACCCCATAGATACAGGGGCTTTGCGGAATCACCAGACTCTCAGGCTCGCGCATGTCTGGATTGGCGAAAGGATTGCGCGGGGACGTTAGCTCTCCAGAGCCATCCGGAGCCTCTTGCAGGACCTCGCAAAGTGGCTGCATACCTTCCCCGAGAATCCGCACGCCGAATTGGAAGCACACACACGCGGCCCTGATGCTGGAACATACTCATCTGCGGCTTGTCACTTGAGTTTTACTTGGGCTCTATGAATTGGTCACAATTGTTATGTGATTGTTGTGGTCGTGGTTGATCTGCTGTCCTTGCAAAGCAGACATCCGTCTCGCACGGTTCTGTAGCAACGACTGCGAAATACCTGCCTAACAATTGATAAGAAAACTTGTCAATAACAGAGTCCCTCATATGCCCCAAAATCCTAAAACCTAAACCACGCGACTCTTGTCATGAGACCCTCGACTTTACACGGGCATGCAGGAGAAGTC